CTGGAGAAGACTCCCCTTCCAGACCAACGACCCCTGTCTACGTGCTGGTTGCAGCCTTGCCTCTGGTTCTCAGAACGATTTCTCATTCATCCCTGATTCTAGGCTAGGCTCTTTCTCATTAAGGAACTCTGTGACCTTCTCATGTTGGTAGCCATTAACCCTCTAGGGAAGGGCAAAGCTTCCTCTGTGCTCTTACAGAGGAAGATATCTTATATCCCTGCAAGACCATGCTACTCAGGAATGGCCAAGAAATGTTTGCCTTACACATGAGCCCTGGCCAACAGATTCACATTTCTGATACTACTGTATGTCCACTTTGTTTTCTCCAAACACAGACCTACAGGGTAGGTAGTCTCCCCGTTTTCCATTGAGAAATTGGCATTCAGAGGTTATGAGACTTGCCCAAAATCTCACAGCTTCTCAGTACAGAGCTGGGGCCAGAGCCCAGAGCTTTTGTCACCATTTCAGCACTCTGCTGTTCCTGACAGTCAGTCCCCCTTACCAGTTTCTCATCAGCCCTTCTTGATGCCTAGTTGTGCTCTCATTTCCCCCAAAAGATAAGCCCCTGGCTCCTCCTCCATAAGCTAGGAGGCAGAAGGTATGAAAGCTCAGGAAAGGCACTCGGGACAATGGGAATGACAATGTTTGATTCAGGCCAATGGTGGAGGGCTGTTTAAAGGCCTCTCCCAGTGGTCCCACTGCAACCCTTTCCTTTTCTCAGCCCCCGAAAAGTGGGCCCTGACTTCAGTGGGCCCACTGGATCCTGGGCTTGAGCTTGCCTGGGCCCTCCGGCCCCTTCACTCACTGGTAGACTGAGAACCAGAGCAGGATCAAACAGCTTCATTTTTCCAGTCCCTTCATTTTTCTAGGGCTTTGCATTGTGACAGAAGGACTGTTTCCTCAATCCTATTTGTGGGAGACAGTAAGGGGTTTTGCAAACGGAGGAAATACAAAGCACTGACCTCAAACAGAAAGGCTGGGAAGAGACAGGGTAGGATTTAGATAAAAAGTCACATGGGGGCCAGGCACGGTGGCTCACGCCTGTAATCCCAGCACTTTGAGAGGCCGAGGAGGGTGGATCACTTGAGGTCAGGAGTTCGAGACCAGCCTGGGCAACATGGTGAAACCCCATCTCCACTAAAAATATAAAAATTTGCCGAGTATGGTGGCATGCTCCTGTAATTCCAGCTACTCAGAGGCTGAGGCATGAGAATTGCTTGAGCCTGGGAGGCAGAGGCTGCAGTGAGCACAGATTGCGCCATTGCACTCCAGCCTGGGTGACAGAGTAAGACTCTGTTTCAAAGAAAAAAAAGCCACATGGGGCTGAGCACTGTTGCTCGTGCCTTAATCCCAGCACTTTGGGAGGCCATGGTGGGAGGATGACTTGCGCCTGGGAATTCGAGACAAGCCTGGGCAACACAGTGAGACCCTCTCTCTCCGAATTCAAAAATTAGCCAGGCATGGTGCCATGGGCCTGTAGTCTCAGCTACTCAGGAGGCTAAAGCAGGGTGATTGTTTCAGTCCAGGAGGTGGAGGTAACAGTGAGCTATGATCGTGCCACTGCACTCCAGCTTGGGTGACAGAATAAGAATGACTCTTGTGACTCTTATTATTTTTTTTTTTGAGATGGAGTCTCACTCTGTTGCCCAGGCTGGAGTGCGGTGGCGTGATCTTGGCTCACTGCAACCTCCGCTTCCCGGGTTCAAGTGACTCTCCTACCTCAGCCTTCCGAGTAGCTGGGATTACAGGAGCCTGCCACCACACTCAGCTAATTTTTTAATATTTTTAGTAGAGATGTAGGTTTCACCATGTTGGCCAGGATGGTCTCAATCTCCTGGCCCTGTGAACCGCCCGCCTTGGCCTCCCAAAGTGCTGGGATTACAGGTCTGAGTCACCGCACCCAGCCTCTTTTTTTTTTTTTTTTTTTTTGAGATGGAGTCTCGCTTTGTCACCCAGGCTGGAGTGCAGTGGTGTGATCTCGGCTCACTGCAACATCCGCCTCCTGGGTTCAAGTGATTCTTCTGCCTCAGCCTCCCAAGTAGCTGGGATTACAAGTGCATGCCACCAAGTCCAGATACTTTTTGTATTTTTAGTAAGACGGGGTTTCACCACCTTGGCCAGGCTAGTCTTGAACTCCTGGCCTCAAGTAATCTGCCCGCCTCAGCCTCCCAAAGTGCTAGGGATTACAGACATGAGCCATTAAGCCCAGTCTCTCTTTTTTTTTTTTTTTGAGACAGGGTATGACTCTATCACCCGGGCTAGAGTGCAGCAGCACAATCTTGGCTCACTATAACCTCTGCCTCCTGGGCTCAATCCATCCTCCCACCTCAGCCTCCCGAGTAGCTGCAACTATAGGGCCACAGCAATATGCCCGGCTACTTTTTGTATTTTTTGTAGAGATAGGGTTTTGCCAGCTTGTCCAGGCTGGTACTGAACTCAACAATTCAAGCGATCTGCCCACCTTGGCCTCCCAAAGTGCGGGGATTATAGACATGAGCTATCACTCCCAGCATAAGACTCTGTCTCTTAAAAAAAGTCATGTGCCTGTGGCAAGTCCCTATTTATTAATTTATTTTTAGACAGGGTCTTGTTCTGTTGCCCAGGCTGGAGTGCAGTGGTATGATCTTGGCTCACTGCAGTCTTCGTCTCCTGGGCTCAAGTGATCTTCCTCTTGAGCACCTGGGACTACAGGCATGTGCCACCAAGCCCGCTAATTTTTGTATTTTTTGTGCAGACAGGATTTCTCCATGTTGCCCAGGCTGGTCTCGAACTCCCTGGGCTCAAGCAATCCTCTCACCTTGGCCTCCTAAAGTGCTGGGATCACAGAAGTGAGCCATTGCGCACGGCCTTATGAAACATCTTGTAACTGGGAGCTGGAGTCCCTTGTTTTTTAACCCTTCCTCCCTCACTGTATCCAGAAACCGTCTTTGCATCCTTTGATTCTGAGCAACTATGGTTATCAACTGCCAAGAGCCAATAAACCAGAGGAGCATTCAGTGTTGGAGAGCTTGTAAAACTGGCAGGCACTCACCAGTGGAGAGCCTGGATGCTCCCACCCCCAAAATTAACTGTGACTGCTCCACTTGAGAAACAGCCACATTCCTTTACTATCCCACTGTAGATGGGAGGCAGGGGCTGCTCCCTCTTCCCAGCCAGGGTAGGAGCCTCCCTCACAAAGGATAACCAGAAAGCCTGCAACTTAAGCACAAAGCCAAAACCAAGGTGGTTTACTGCCCTTTAGCTCTCTGAGCTATAATCCTCAACACAAGGCAGGGAGATCAGCACTGCAGCCTGGCCCATGAGGCGGGCCGGGCCTCAAACCTGCCTGGGAAAAACCTGACATGGCAAAAGAGGTGAGAACAGAGAGCCACCTCCAGCTCACTCTCCTTCAGGCCTGGAAGCCACAATGCAAAGAGCACTCTCCAAATCTCTTGTCTTCAGAGCCACTTGAAATGCTGGGCTCCTCTTGAAAGTAGGCTTCCAGGACCACTTTCATCCCTGAGAATCTGCTTGCTGGGGTCTGGTCTCTAAATCCCCAACTACTGTTAGACTAGCAAACCTTTGTTCAACAGTATTCTGGAGCCCTGGCTCCAGTTGCAAAGCTCAGTGAGATCTGGCTCCTGCCTTCCAGAATCTTAGAAGAGGTAAACTATACAGAAAACTTACTAGAGTCGCTCTGCCCACCTCTGCTGCTTACCAGTTGACTGAACATGAGCAAAGTGACATAACTTCTCCAAATCTGTTTCTTCATTTGGGACATAAAGATACTAGCTGGACCCATTTCACAGAATTAGCGGGAAGATTGAGAAAATCTGGCCGGGCATGGTAGCTCACGCCTGTGATTCCAGGACTTTGGGAGGCCAAGGCAAGCAGATCCCTTGAGCCTAGGAGTTCGAGGCCAACAGGGCGAAACACCGGCTCTACAAAAAAACACAAAAATTAGCCGGGGTGTGGTGGCATGTGCCTGTAATCCCAGCTACTTGGGAGGCTGATGTGGAAGGATCACTTGAGCCCAGGGAGGTAGGCTGAGGCTGCAGTGAGCCGTGATCACACTGCGGCACTCCAGCCTGGGTGACAGAGTAAGACCCTGTCTCAAAAGAAAAAAAAAAAAAGAAAAAAGAAAATCCATGTCAGTGTTTACCATAGAACCTGGTGTTCGGGAATGTCTTGATGATGGATTCTATTATTATCTAGCTTCACTTTGGGGTAGGAACCATTGTTTCCCATCTCCAAGGGTTCTCTGGGCTCTGGGAAGAGCTGCAATACCTAGAAACTTGACTGTAAGTACCAGTATGGCTAAGTTGATTCCTGTCATCCTGCTATTCCTTCTATAACAAGGAAAAGTCAAATTCTTGCCATGGCTGGGCCATCAGGCAAAGACGACCTTCTTTCCTAACATAAAACCATCCTGCAGGAAGAGTAGGTGAATGACAAAGTGCCCATGCCTCTGCCCTCTGTGTGGCCCAGAGGATGATGACAGTGGTCCTGCCAGGGTTCTTGCCTTCTTCATCAGTTCCTTAACTCCCTCCTCCCAGAAAAGGTCCACAAAACAACTGATATACCAGTACCACATGGTGCCAAGGGCTGGGGGAAGCTCACACTGCCAGCCTCGCACTTTATGCGGTTCTTCCCATACCAGTGGGTTACCGTAACCATGGAGACCAACAAATTCCTCCATATCACAGGAGAGCCAGCCTGCCAGTAGCCCAGGGCTCTGGGGGATGGGGGTGGTGGGGGTAGGCAGAAGGCAGCCTGTAGCACAGAGGTTTGGCTCACTTTACACAGGACTGTGGGGAGGTAGCAGATCCTAACCAGTGCAGCTGAGGTGGCTGGGCTTCCTCCTAAGCTCGTTTTCTTTGCCTAGTATGTGTGTTCTTGGCATATTTTCTGGGCTCTCTAGACACTCGGTCTCTCTTCCTAGCTCCACTGCTGTACACTGGGGATAATAGTGAAGGGTGCCGTTCCGGAGTTAGACCTGTGATAACCCAGTTCCACCGCTCTGCACATACATGCGCATACACAAAACATTGGAACAATACAGAAAAGATTAGCATGGCCCCCGTGCAAGGATGACACACAAATCTGTGAGGCATTCCTTTTTTTTTTTTTTTTTTGAGACAAGAGTTTCGCTCTTGTTGCCCAGGCTAGAGTACAGTGGCGCGATCTTGGCTCACCGCAATCTCCACCTCCCGGGTTCAACTGATTCTCCTGCCTCAGCCTCCCAAGTAACTGGGATTACAGGTATGCACCACCATGCCTGGCTAATTTTCCTCAGGTGATCCACCCAGCTCGGCCTCCCAAAGTGCTGGGATTACAGGTGTGAGCTACTGAGCCCGGCCCATATTTTTTAAAAGATTAAAAATTGTATTATTTCAGGCTAGGCATGGTGGCTTATGCCTGTAATCCCAGCACTTTGGGAGGCCAAGGTGAGCAGATCACCCAAGGTCAGGAGTTCGAGACCAGCCTGGCCAATGTGGTGAAACCCCATCTCTACTAAAAATACAAAAATTAGCAGGGTGTGGTGGCACGCGCCTGTAATCCCAGCTACTAGGGAGGCTGAGGCATGAGAATCACTTGAACCTGGGAGGTGGAGGTTGCAGTGAGCCGAGATTGCACCACTGCACTCCAGCCTGGGCTACAGAGTGAGATTCTGTCTCAAAAAAAAAAAAAAAAAAAAATTTTTTTTGAATAAATAAAAATAATAAGAAAAAAGAATAGGTCAGGATTGTGGTACAAGGAGCTACCCAGATCTACACATACTAAAAGGAAAGTGGTCATCTATCCTACGCGTCTTCCTGTGATCCAGGTTAAGTCCTCTTATCCCTTGTTTATCTCAAATCCAGACACTGTCTTAGCTGGGAGTGGTCGCTCACTTCTCTGGACTCTCAGCACTCTATCTGTACCCTTCATTTCTTCTTCTTTTGTAAGAGATGAAGTCTTGCTCTCTCGCCCAGGCTGGACTGCAATGGCACAATCACAGCTTACTGCATCCTCAAACTCCTGGGCTCAAGGGATTCTACTGCTTCAGCCTCTCAAATAGTTGGGACTACAGGTGTGTGCCACTATACCTGGCTAGTTTTTTATTTATTTCTTTTGTAGAGATGGCATCTTGCCATCTTGCCCAGGCTGGCCTCAAACTCCTAGGCTCAAGCAATCTTCCTGCCTCAGCCTCCCAAAGTGCTGCGATTATAGGCGTGAGCCACCACACCCAGCCCCACTAATTTCTTGTTTGTGTCCCCATACCTTAACCCCCTCATGCTCTGACAGATCAGAGCCAGTGTCTCCTTCACCTTCATATACCCTCAGTGCCCAACAATGCCCACACCTACTTGGCCCATGTTATAATACGTAGGGAACAAGAGAGGCACAACTTTTTCATCTTTAAAGTTGCCTACTCTCGACCCCAAGATATAAGGGTAAGGGAAGGAAGATCACAACTTCTTGCTACCAGCCCCGTTTCCCCTCTTTCAAGGCATTTGTTGCCCTTGAAGTTGGTTGGTTACTATCTGTCCTTCCTGCTAGACTACACTACAAAAGGAGGGACCTTGGTCTTTTTTTTTGAGACAGTTTCTTCTCTGGCCATCCAGGTTAGAGTGCAGTGGTGTGATCTTGGCTCACTGCAACCTCCGCCTCAGGAGTTCAAGCGATTCTCCTGCCTCAGCCTCCCAAGTAGCTGGGATTACAGGTGCCCGCCACCATGCCTGTTTTTTTTTTTTTTTTTAAGTAGAGACGGGGTTTTGCCATGTTGGCCAGGCTGGTCTCGAACTCCTGACCTCAGGTGATCTGCCCACCTTGGCCTCCCAAAGTGCTGGGATTACAGGCATGAGCCACTGCACCAGGCCAGGTCTGTCTTATTCATGGCCCAGAACAATGCCCAGCACAATATTCAATATAGTACTGAATGAATAAATGTATACAAATGAATAAATAAGAAAACATGTTGGGGTGTCTTCATGACAGTCTCTGGGACCAAGTGATAACTGACAGCCCACATCAGTGTACTCTGCAAAAAATACCCATGAGGGTAGTGAGCCACGAGATCCCCTATTCCAGCGATGGATGAAAAGTGAGTGATCACCAAGGTGAGCTGGAGACAGACTCAGAATATAGGCACAACCAGGGACCAGCAGGGCCCATCACACTTGCTTCCCTGAATCAAGCCCTAGCCTTCCTTTCGTCAGAGGGAAAACCCTCTCCTTCAAACTTCCTGCTGCCCAAGACAACCACCAGGTACTCCCACTTAAGACAGTTCTCTCTGCCTCTCTACATTTAGTTTCTCTACTGCTTTGCTATCAAAACCATTGTGTCTTGCTGTGACAATGAATGCAACTCCAGCCATTCTAAGAGCTACCAATTGGGGACAGACAGTGACTTGTGTAAGAATCTAGGAGACATTTATTTATTGTTTGCCACACTAAGAGTTCTGCTTTAATATTTCTTACTTGAACCAATGTACTGACTCTAAGGCCCTGTTAAATGTAGGGTGTCAAAATAATTTCACCCATACACACCTGCCTCCTGTCCTGCTGCACGAATCAGCATTCCCACCCTGCCCCCAACCCCTCCCCAAACTGCCTCCTGTTACAAAAAAGCAAAGGAACTAAAAACGGCAGCTGGGGAGCTCAGTTGACTCACCCAGCATAATCATCTCCTCCCAGAATCTCCCATCTTCTCCTGGGGTTTTTGCCAACACAAAGTAAAAAAGAAGCATGAGATCTTAAAACAAAAAAAAAAAAAACTCTCTCAGCATTTATGCAACAGTCTTTCTACCTGGGTACAGATTTAACCCTTTGTTTCTGCCCTTTCCAATGTGGTTTCCTTAAAATTTGCTTGTATGCTGAGGATAAGATCCAGTCTGGAGCTGGGAAACAGGCCTTCTAGACCCCCCAGACCCAGCACTGCTGCTGGAAAGTGCAGAACAAGACATGTGCCTCTTCCTGCTCCATCTTTCTCTGGAAGTGAAGAAATACTGCCTTCCTACTCCTCCAGTTTCAAAGAGGGAGTTGAAGAAGAAGGAGGAAATGTCAGAAAAAAACACTGGGACAAAGTTTGTTGCCCCAGAAGTCACCATGGCCAGAGGTCACAGCGCATCAGAAACCACCCCAAGGCTGTCACTGCCACCCTCACCTCAGAACTGTCTCCCTGTTGGGCCCGGCTGCAAAGTGGCTACTCCACTTAAGTGACAACTAAAAATCCAACTGGCTGATCTTTCTAGAAGCAAGCCCTTACAGGGCTGCTCCTGCTGACAGGGAGAGGTGCTATCTTTCTCCTGCAGCAGATCACTAAAAACCCAAGCAGGAGAGGGCACCTAAGTTGTGGAATGAGGGCATCCTGTTTCAGGTGCTACCGGACTATGGATCAAATCAGCTGACATGGAGAACCCAGACAAACCTAGCCCTCAAGGCAATCACAGAAGACAAGGGCAGCTCTCCAGCAACTTTTCTGGGTAGGAAGAGGAGGGTGCTTCTTTTTTGCCATCTGGCGTATAGGAGGACGACTTACTTGTACGATGGATAGTGCCATGACCACAAAATATGATTTAAAAAAAATTTTTTATTTGAGACAGAGTCTCACTCTATCGCCCAGGCTGGAGTGGAGTGGTGTGTCATCTCAGTTCACTGCAACCTCTACCTCCCGGGTTCAAGTGATTCTCCTGCCTCAGCCTCCCGAGTAGCTGGGAGTACAGGTGCGCACCACCAGGACCAGATTTTTTTTTTTTTTTTTGTATTTTTAGTAGAGATGGGGTTTTACCATGTTGGCCAGGCTGGTCTCAAACTCCTGTCCTCAAGTGATCTGACTGCCTCGGCCTCCCAAAGTGCTGGGATTACAGGCGTGAGTCACTGCACCCAGCTGAATACAAAATAAAGAGACACTTCCACAGGCAAATGCAAATCTGTTGCAGCATATTAGTCAAGAAATCCCCAAGTTACCAAAAGTTCTGTTCTGAGAAGGAACTCTTTTTCCATGGAAACATGTTACAAATGGTAGCTGTGTTCTCAGGTCAGCCCATAAGGTCCCAGCATAGTATTTCAAGTGGTACGTGAATCGTACCTAAGAGTTAAACCATAGCCCAGAACAGGAAATGGATTCAGAGTTCCAACTCAGGACCTGGGAACAGATCTTTGCTCTCCAAGCACCATGGGCAGCAGACACTGGGGCTCCCTAGCCTTCAAGCTCTGGGTGAGGGCTTGAATCAAGAAAACTTGAGCCAGGTGCGGTGGCTCAATCCTGTAATCCCAGCACTTTGGGAGGCCGAGGTGGGCGGATCACGAGGTCAGGAGATTGAGACCATCCTTGCTAACATGGTGAAACCCCATCTCTACTAAAAATACAAAAAATTAGCCGGGCGTGGTAGTGGGCACCTGTAGCCCCAGCTACTGGGGAGGCTGAGGCAGGAGAATGGCATGAACCCGGGAGGCGAAGCTTGCAGTGAGCCAAGATCGGGTCACTGTACTCCAGCCTGGGCAACAGACCCAGACTCCGTCTCCAAAAAAAAAAAAAAAAAAGGAAGACTTGAACAAGAGAGCTTCAAAGCATTTGGGGTAGAGCTTAAGGCTGGGTAGGAGAGAGGGTCTGAGGAGATATAAACCCAGATGGAGATGAGGAATGAGGCTAGAGGAAAAATTTTAAATGGGTGCTGCCTTACACAAGAGAAGAGCTAATTAAGGAAGACCAGGTAGAACAACTTCCAGCTAGAGGAGACAAGACAACCTGCAACAGTACCCTGACATATCAGGGGCAAAAAATGCTCTTTACAACTGTCTTCCCTACTAGGCAGCTGACGTGGGGGCTATGCTTCATGCCTGCCTTACTCAGCTTGCCACTGCTGCTGCAGTCTCAACCCTGCGCTGATGGCTGGATCCTGTTACTAAGTGGCCATGGCCTAGGCAGGTATCCTGGCCAGCTTGCCAGATCAATGGAGGATTCATTTGTCAGCAGTTAGGTGAAGAGTGGAAAGCCCGAGCTTCTCAGTGAGACTGAGTATATGTCAGCTTATGGCTTTAGGCTGAAGGTGCCCCTCAAAGCCAACCACTGCTGTTTATTCGCTAGTGGCAATGACAATTTTGCTCCAAGGGGGCCCTTGCTGTTTGTACTTTCTACTTA